TTTCTTTGACCTTTGTGCCGGGATCATTTTGATTTCGGTAAAATGGATATTTTATTAAAGCTGCTTGTGCTTGAGACTTGAACTTTTCCGCTTAATAAATGGAGAGCCTTTGAATCAGGTTGACTTTTTTCGAATTTGAGAATTTCAAATTAAAAAGCTACTTTGTCCGGGGAAATGAATTTGGAAGCTGCTTTAATGGCTTACTTGTTTTGCAATGTACTCTGAAAATGATCGTTATATTGCTTTCTCGCGAACGAAAAAGGAAAGAAAAATATTTATTGAAGCTTTTTGGAGGAGTTTGAAGAGGCTTTCATATTCATATCTAGATTCAGAGTCTATCGCAGGAGAAAACTTGCATAGAGGTCCTCGAAGAATGCTTTTCAACTATAACGCAAGGATGAAACTCGCGAGCAAAAGGTCGGAGAGAGAGCATCAAAGCAGCCCATTCACCGATGAAAAATTCAGGTTTAACAGCGCGACTAAGGTAGCGAAAGCCATTGAAAAAAACTTTCTATTCGGCGGCAAAATGAGTTTCGTCGGGGGGCCTACGTGGTCGGCGTCGTTTTTGAGGTATTTTTTCGTTCTCGGGCAGCTTTCTCCGGTAAGATCATGATTCAGGACTCGCCCTGACCCCTGGCCTTCGAGCAAAGTCATCTTTTCATAGCGAGGCAGGGATGACGCCTCTGACCTCGGGCGTAGTACACGACTTGAAATCGCAAGAACCGTTGCGTAGCTATGAATGCGCTGCTCGTATCTTTCGCGAAGACGACCCTCGCTTATCTTCGTCTCCTTTCGGCCGCTTCTTTTCCTCGCTTTCACATCGTTCTTTACAATCTGGTCGTCTATCCCATTTTCGAGTTTGTTCGAAAGCATTCGGCACGTACACACCTACACCGGGCGCAAATAACGAAGGCATTCGCATGCAAGCCGCTCGGATTACAATGTAACGGAATTGCAATTGATCGGCAGGCTTAGCACGAAAAACATTGAAATTCCCTTAGCCCGGGCAGCCGTCAGCGCGCGAAAGGATCGTTATTTATATTTCTTTTTCGGTTGATTGGGCGCAATCAATAAGTTGTTGCCAGCCGCTGTACACCGCAGCAGAGCGCGCGCTAAGCAAGAACACGGCAGCGTGGAAAAGGGATTGCGCTTGGCGTTGGACTTCCGACGAAAGCGATTCAAAGCTGCTCTTTGCGCTCGACGCTCGCGATCCGCGCTCGACAGCTCAAGCTCACGCGGTGTTGCATGCAGATGGGATGCGCAAGCCCGAAAGCAGCAAAAACGTGGCTTCGGCTTTGCATAATAATTTCTGCGGCTCCCTTGCCTCAGCCCCAGCGGCACCGACTCTTTCTCTCCTGCTCCCTTTCCCTTCCTACCGCCACGCCCGCTTTCGTTCACCTCTTTCTATTCGCATTAATGTCAATGCCTTCTTGCGTGCACGCGCGATTTCTCACCAAGCACTGCTACAGAGATTGTCGAACAAGTATCCGAGCAAATCTCATCGTGTATCGGATGTGCGCAAGTAATAAACTCAAACTCCAGACGCTACGCTCCGCCGGACACAGAAATATCGATGGCTTTACCGACCATTTTTCACTTTTCTTTTGCTTGCCTGCACGTTCGATCGTTCTGTCGCTTAATCTACTTGTGTAATTACCGACTTTCCTTTATAATATCAAATTCATACAGCCACTTTCATTCGGACTGTTTTTTCAAACGTCGCAGATTCTTCAAATAAAAGCCAGCTTGAGTGTTTTTTGTTTGTTCGATAGGTGTCGAGTGTTACGAACTATTGAAAACGACAGCTGCACCTACAGAAAGAATACCTCACATACATCCCGTCCAGCCACACGTTTTCTGACTCTTTCACGCTCGAAAACTCCCTATTCATTCCTAGACTCATCAATTTTCACATTTTCCTCTCCCGTTAGTCCTCCATTACTCTTTCACACTCGCTGATCAGTAGGATGAGTGAAAAAGATCTATTCATAGGCGCTCGTGTAAGCGGCAACGAACGGCGGCCTCATTGAAAACCTCGTGGCTTATTCGTTGAGTGCAGGTACGTTCGCGAAAATTGCGAACTGCGGATGAAAAAACCGATCGAAGAGCAACACCGAGGAAGTCGATCGATTTCAGCGTGGACGTATAAAATGGAGGTAAAAAAAGACAAAAGCCTGCCGAAATATCCGAAATTCGACGCGTAATCTACATGCATCGCTGCGGCGCGGCAGATTGATAACGCGAGAGAGAGAGGGAGAGAGAGGGAGAGGTGAGACGAGGTACGATACGCGCATGTGCGCACGTGTGTTCGGGGTGCGAGAGTTGGCGTGACACGGAAGCCAATTAGTTGGGCTGTAATTTCTAAACCGAGCGCGCCTGTACATCTATCTTTGTTGGCTTGTCGGCCTCTGTTTTATATGATTTTTGAAAATTGCCAGAACACCAGAGACGCCTCGCGCGCTATCCACCGATACGGGCGCTACACACATACGCCCCCCCCCCCCCCCGGCAAACTGCACGCGTTTTCGTTTTATTCGCCGCCACTGCAAAATTATTTACGCGCAAGCGCCCTTATACCCATTCCATTAGCGCTCTCGATTGTTCAGTTTCGTTTGACCGACGTGTGACGCTGCTGCGGGCATGCCCGCGCCTATATAAAACAAGTTCGCGGCTAAAGTTATAATTTCGCTGAAGCACTGTTTCGTATTTTCCAGCAGCGAATCCGCCACGATTCTGGGTTGTTGTGCGCTGTGGCGAATTAGCGCCGACAGCTACGTTACTTCGCAGCAACTTTTTCCACTGAATGAAAAGCTGAACGCGCGCTGAAAGAGATTGTAATGAAGAAGCAAGGTGAACGAACGGACGAGTTGTTTGATCGCACCGTGAAAGCACTGATAATTGAGAATTAAGCGCCTATGAAATGGAACTTGTTTGAAATTGAAAGCGAAAATAAATTGGAGCGCTAAATACGCCGTGATCATTCGGAAACATAGTTGCGCGATAATTGATCGAATGTCGTACATGCGCATAGACATGCACGTTTCCCTCGGCGAATGAAACGACAAGCGAGGCAAATGAAGGCGCAACTGAAAATACGAGTCCCCAGGACGCAGCGTGCAAAAACATGCGAGCGAGACTGTAATGAAAGTAAACAGGTAGACAGACCGCGACGAAGCGAGACAGCGTGGATATAGGCGTAACGCTGGACAATTGAGTGAGGTAGAGAGAGAACAGGCAGCTCGATCCCCGTGGGCCAGGCCAATAAGCACCGGACGCGAGTCCTGTTATGACGGATAACGTCGCGACTCCCTGGTGAGCATCCAACTAACACGCTCTCGCGAATTAAATGGCCGCGCTCCATCTCTCTCTCTCTCCCTCTCTCCGACCAAACAGCCGGCCGACCAATCGATATCCACGAATACCCACACTTGTGCGTAATCCATACAAAATGTTATACATGTATACACGCATTTTAGTCATTTTCACGTTTAAGTGGCTAATGAATTTCATCCACGGGAGCAGCGGGCTATACGTAAAATAATGTGAAATTCACGCGTGACTGCGCTCATACATAATATTGATTAGGAACATGCAGTAAAAAGTGTGAATTTGAATGGTTGCCTCGACAAAGTCGTCGTGAATGAGGAACGCACTATTGTGTCGTAATTTGAATTATGTTTTGAATAAGTACAATTGATATTTCAACTGAAAAAAGGAAGCGTTGAAGCGTTTCGAGGCTTTATAATGTTGTTTGGCCGTGCATTGGTTGCGCGAGAGGAAATCGCGCCAAATGTATAATTAATTGGCGAATGCCACAAGTACATCACGTACACGAAGTAATCGTTGGGCGACAAAGCAAGCCACGATAGATTGATCGAGCAGAAGTAAGGGCCACGCGAAGGAAGCTTGCAGTAGCAGCGATTGTTCAAACAGTTGGACGCCTCGACAGAATTGGCTGCTGGCGTCCCTCTCGATAGTCCGTCCGTTTGCTTTGCTGCAGCAGCGCGCGACTCGCCACCAATGGCCAAGACACGCTCGATGACACTGAGCAAACACTGCGTTCGCGCGCGCGCCCACTCCCCGTCCCCAGTCCCGATTGGCCTCGGTCAAGACGCTAATTCCTTCGGATCTCGCTCTGGACGAGGTGCCTGTTGGAACTACTGGCTCGAGCATTGTACCACTATATAATCGACTTAATGGATTTCGATTTCGCATTCGCGCCTCGACGTACTTGCCGCGTGTGCCAACGCATACTCGCCTCCGAGATAATTGCGCCTGGCACGCGCAACTGATACTCGCGCGCCTCACCGAGCCTGATCGAACTTGATTTCTACTACTCGCTCGCGACGAGAATTAGCCAAAGAAGAGAAAGAGAGGGAAGATTCGCGCGCGAGCGAGGCGAAAGACTTATGAAAAGACTTGATTAAAAAGCGCGGTAAAAGGTACCGAGCGAATTTCGTCGGAAACTCTGGTCGAGAGTCTTCAAAGTTTTACTGATTTCATAAAATCCCGCTGAGCATTTCACGCTTACCCGCTTGTCGTTTAAACTCAGGCTGGAAAAGTTCTCACGGAGATAAAGATCTAAGCCGGCTTCGTAACAACGACAGAGGGTACGAGACGACTCGAACAGGCAACAAATAACATACAAATTTTCGCGAAAAGCTAACAGAAGTAAGGTTTCAAGCTGGCGCGCGTCTCTAAATATTTCACAGCGAACAGCAGCTTTATTCCGCCCTTTGGGTTTTTCATTTGTGCTACTCGTAACCTTTATCTTGCCCTCTCATATTGTGGGAAATCCGCTTACTCTCCGAAATATTCTAGTTATATTGCGTAAAACAAGCGGATTTTTGCGTGCTTCCACGATGAAAATTAGTTGAATGTAAAAATAAAATGCAGAGCAGCGCCGTATGTAGGTTGCAGAGGAAACGACCGCGCGTAATACACGTGCAAGTGCGTTGCCGAAGATCGTTAAAAAGGTAATATCCGCTTTGGCGTTGCAGGTGATGCTGGGGGCAGGCTGCGGAGAAGGTTAGCTGCTCGGCTACAGCGACAGCAACTCTGACACGACGGAAGTGGCGACGCGCGCGAAAATCGTCGCCGCAGGCCGACAAGCCAGCCAGCGGTAGTAGTGGCGTACCGGCAGAGGTGAGTTCTTCTTCCTTTCTCTTTCTTCGCCTTCTTCTTCTTTTTCTTCCTTATTCGCTAACCTTTTTGTCCCCTTTCGCTTCGCTCATTCACTCGTTCTTTGAGACTTTTTGTGGCGGCAGCGCGCTTGTATGTGACGAACGGATACACCTTCCCTTTTTTTTCTCTCTTCTTTTTACTCAGTCAGTGATCCCGTTTCCGCTTGTAGCTTGTATCTCCGTGCGACAAAAACACGTCTCTTTGTCGTTGTATGAAATGACTTTGGGAAAAAAGTAATTGGAAATTGAATGTCCCATCCTCGCCATTTACGACTGACTCTGGAAAATCCTCTGTGCTTGCGCGACTGTAAAAGAATAATCCAACTTGCGTGAAAATCAAGTGTATGCGCGTATTCTGAAATGATAATTTGTCGAGTGACTCGTTTGGTGATTGGTGAAAACTAAAATTAATTGTATACTGCATTGTTCATCTTAAAACTTGTTCCCGTAAAAGTTTGTAGATAACGCCGGCACAAATAATTCAAAGTAATTAATCGATCAAACATCCATGGAAAATAAAAAGAGCATTAACGGAGCGCGCTCATTAAAACCTTTCATCGTAGCTTATGAGATAAAGAAAAAAGTGGAAAAAAAAGGATATCTCGAAATACTCGAGCAAATTGCTCGCTGAAACTAAATCCGAGTTCCAGAGCGCGCGTGCCGTTATCGAAAAACTATAAAGAGAGTATATAATTATGCAACGAGAGCGCGAGAGCCACGTCGATAGGTAAAGTCGAGTGGTAGAGAGAGGGAACTAATAAAGTTAAAATATTCCTTTATTTTCGCGGGCAAGAAGAGAAAGAGAAAGGACTAAAGCCAGAGCAGCTCCGTCGATTTCCATTTTCATTTGAGCCTGGCGGGGCTTGGTGTTGCATAAAAATACAGCGATCGCCGGTAATTCCGCACCGGGCGAGAGCGCTTAAATCGGAATTGCTATCCGCCCAGCGGTAGTCCCGCTGATACGAATCGTCGATTAAAGCCCTACTTTTTCCATCCGCTCCTCGCTTACACGCTTCTTAGCTTCCTTCCCTTGTAGCTCTGGCTGCTCGACCACTTGCAACGCGCCAAAGGAGATTCGACCGATCGACGCTCTGTCGCGCAACGGCACCCTGTGTCTGCTTTCCGCCCGACAGTTCTCGTCGAAAGCGACGTTTGCAACTTGCGTTGTACAGCTGTGCAATAGAATCTACAAAGTTTTCTTGTTTCTTTCGCGCAGCCAGTTGACCATTACGCAGCCTGCCAAATATTCGCAGCTCGGGCTTGATTGCGAAACTCGCCGCGAAACCAATTACGGATGCGAATTAAAAGTAAATCCTCGCACGCTACGTCTGCCAGCTGGCAAAGTGGTCGTCGAGCCACCCGCGCAGCGGCTGCAAAAACTTCGCCGCGAGCTTGTCGCTCAAGGGACACCTGTGAATTGCAGGTACTATGGGAGCGGGGCTATGGAGGGCGGAGGAGGGCCTCAGCAACAGCAGCAGCTTCGAGGCAAGCGCACCTCTCCGCGGCCCAAGAGCAGCAGCCGCCGGCGACGAGACTCGCATGCCCTAGGCCAGCATGGTCGTTCGCACTGCTGCTGTCCACGACCATGCCAGCAGCATTACCTCCGGTACGTTCACACTTGTCTCTCCGACCAAACTGCTCCCTTAACTTACGAGTATCCTCGTCGAAAAAACATTGATCGAGTCTTACGATTAAAGAAGAAAAAGCAAAAACTAACTCGATTGTTTCTCTACCAAAACTAAAACTTACACACTTACGAATACCGGTTCTCTTGCTCATTATTATCTCCTAATTTAAAGTCGTTTGCCTCATCCGTATAATACGTTATTATACTTTATAGCGACTGCTCGCGTTAGATCGTAGAGCTGGAATTGAATGGAAATGCAACTTGCAGTCGCGAATATCTCGAGTAAATTCGAAATGATGAGGGGCATGCATTTTGTCCTAGGGTATCTTTCATCATTCCAGGGGATCTTCGTGACGGCTTATTCCGACAAACCCGTATCATCGACGACGACGGCGATTCATCCGCATTAAAATTTTAAATTAAATATAATGATCGACATGCACGTTGATAAATTTACAAAGCGCCCCTTACCATGCTATCTCAACTGTAGTTTCGGGGATCTTTTACGCTTCCTTGCCGTAACACGAAAGAAAGCTCATCGCCGAACTTTTCATTTCCCGTGAGGGACCGAGGGCGTGGCATTTGCCGGTTCGCTCACACAGCTTCGCCGCGCAACGACGCTCTGACTTCCTCTCGCATTTTCAATTTCTAAATCGCATACCCACCCATCGCATTTTTAATCCCGTTGGATTTATTACATTCACGAGCTATCAATTAATCGACTGCTGTTCGACGATAACGAACAGTTTGAGCTAATGCAAGCTTGTACTGTCGAGATATAAATGACGTTCGTAATACATGTGGAAATACGCAGGAGCGAGCTGGAGGAGCAATGGTCAACGGCAAGGTCGTGGCTCGCGTCAACGGGTCAGCCAACTTGCAGTGGATGGCGGCCACGGGACGAACGTGACGAGCCAACTACGACGGATGATCACCGTAGCGGCGAGTATCGCGGCGATGATAACGGAGAGCCGGGTATGAGGCCGTGGCTACTTGGGCGCCTCGTCGGATGGAGGCGGCACCGGCCACGATGGACCCACGGCTCCAGAGACTTTCGACGAGCCATCGAGATTGTTCTACTCGGACTTTTACTGATCGTCTCGCCGGGTAAGCTAACAACCCAGCTGTATACCATTGTTTTGCTTTTCCTAAATCTACAACAAACTCCACGCCGCCATTTTCGTTGGCAACAAGTGTAGCGCGAAGGTTGTGTTTATCGAAGCGCTCAGCAATTAGGATTGCAAATGGCGCTATGCTCGACTCGCTGCTCGTTTTCGTTGGCTTCGATAGACATCCTTGCTCGACTTGAATTTCACGATTGTTCCGCGCGATTCGCCAGCTCGCAACTCTCTCGCAGAGATGTTTTTCTTACGCGGTTGCCGATCGATTCTTCACGTTTGCTCGCTCTGGGCGCGCAATAAACTAGCAAGTTTTATCACTGAGAAAAACAGTTATAAACATTAGTGCAGTATCGGCTTCGCAGTAAATCCACTGAGCTCACTTTGAACTTTGTTTACTCGCTGATAAATGTTTGTAATTAAGATCGTAAATAACCGTCAGGCCAGATTTTAACACTGAAAGCCAGCGGGCCGCATTCCGTGTGTGCCCGCGTGCGTACGTCGTCGTTTTCTTTACGCGCTCAACCCAGTTGCGGAAAAGTACTGCGCTGATATCTTCAATATCGCTGATTAGTTTTTTCTTAGCGGGAAATTTTATCTCGACTGAGTGATACTTTCGCAAGTTTTCAAGTTCTATCGACTTAGCTGGAGCGAGCACTTGGGACAGCGAAAATTTTCGGAAATAAATTATTTAGAGAAACGGCCAATAAAAGTCTCATTAGCAGCACATTTGTTATACGCCTATCGGAACTGCGATTTCAAGCTTTAATTCACGTGCGAAGCTTCGCGGGATCCGCTGATAAAGTCACTCGCCGCTTTTACCCGCCAGAAAAATTATTTATATCGGTCGAAATCAAGTAAAATAGAAAGAAGTATATATTGATGCGCAAGTTCGTTGCTAATAACGGGCAATCTCGTGAAAATATAAACAAGGATTGGTGAGCAGCGCCTGATATTTAGATTGACGGGCGGCTCGGCAATACATATTTTTCGCTCGAGATGGCAGACAGCTTCGTAATTTTCCGCTCGTCTAGCCAGCTAAAAGTTAAGTTAAACTAACCAGCTCCGCTGCAGCCAACACGGCAACGGTAGCGCTCGCGTGCTATTTATTTTCAGGCCGCGCGCGAGCGATAATCGGCGCGTGCTAAATGCGCCGACGGCGCTTCTTCAAATTGTCAAAGCGGTTGCGACTTTGTCTGATTTACGTCGGCGTCTCGCTTGACACGAACGGTTTTCCCAATTTTCCGCGTTTCTCGCGCGCGAACGGCTCTTCCGAACTTCGCCGGTAATGTCGCGTTGGAGAGTTTGTACGAGAGGGAGCTGTAAACAAACGAAACACAAGTCATTCGATCTTCGAAAATGCAAAGTGAAGCTGCTAGATAGAATAGGAGCCAGTAGCAGCGATTGAGAAGCGAGCGAGCGAGCGTCGTGGACGACGAAGGGTGCAGAGGGTGCAATTGATAAAGGCGATAATTTGCTTAATGAAAGCAAGGGAGGAGAAGAGCGCAGCAAGGCGCTAGTCTCTTTGAAAACGAGCAGCGAGCCCCAAGATTTTTGTGAAAGAGATAAGGCGTGGAAGTAGAGCTGCTGGAAATACAGACGAGAAGTTAGGATCGTGGAAGAGTAAAACAGGCGAGAGCGCTATTCTCTCGAGAGAGGAGGAAAAAGGAAAAGTGGGCCAACAACGCTGGGCCAGCCTGCGCAGGCACCGGGGGCGGAGCGCGAAATTAGCGGCGAAAGTTGTTTAATATAGAAAGTTCTTTCCGGCTGCTGGGGCTATATGTGCGCGTGAAATAACGACAAAGACACGGCATTGTGCGCTCTAGCTCTCTTCGGAAACTTTCCAGCCCTGCCGTGCCCTTTCCCTCGAGACTAATGACCCTCGTTTATTTATGCGATTCGTCCGTTATTTTTAGGCCCTGCATCCTCTCCGTTCGTTCATTCTCCGATGCATTCGTCACGTCCCATTTCAATCTGAACAATCGGCTAATTTTTCAACGTCCCTCCCCTGCGCATCAAGCGTCGAGCTTTCAATTCCATACTCGCTAGATTTTCACTCTGCTTATTTTTTTCATTTGTATTTTCCGCGATCGGATAATTACGCTCGCTGTAGAGAAAAAAACGGATTAGTTGCGCAACTGTAGAAGGCGAAAACCTATTGACTCAAAGGCGATAATTGGCCGCGGTCGTTCAACGAGAACGAACTAATTACGCCGAGGCGAGGAGCGATCGGAAGAGTTTCCCGAGACGCCAACGAACCAAAACATGAGCGGCAAATTCTTTGGATTGCATCAATGAGTTTTGTCATCAGACGACCTTTACAGATAAACCATATTTCCAGGACGCTGTCACTTTACCAACGGAACGCACGTCAAACTCGCGCAATCTTTCTTGCCAAATGATCGAACACTATGGCAAGCGATTGCGATCCGTCAAAGAGAGCCGTTGATAAATTTGTTTGATGTAAAGCTTCCGGCTCGTCCGGCGACAACACTAATTTCCCAGCGTGCAGCTCTCATCGACTGCGCCAAGTGGTGCTCGTCTACGTGTCTCCCTCGCGTCTGTTTCTTCTTTTAAAGCATTTGACACTCGACAACGCAGTCTGCTCGAGAGTCTGCTGGCATTGTTGAGAGGCGCGAGCAAGTGCGCTCCCTTTTCTAGCTCGTTCGCGCGTATTCCTTTGCCTCTGCTGGTTTTTCAGCCGCGCGTTACTTCTGAATAAAGATATCGCACTCCTGCCATCTCCCTCCGCTGTGCCTTTTATTTTCAATTAAGCCGCGGTTTGTGCTCTCTTTCGCTCGAGCCCATTGGTTTTATTTACCGAGAGAATACAGAGGGAAATAATAAAAAAAAAAAAAAAACAATGAGCTCTGAAGAGCATTTTAATGAAAGGATCGCACTCGCTTCTCAGAGCCGCGTAACGTGTCGGCTATAGCGCTATCTTGACAGATATTTGCCAGATTTCGCTTTAACTAACTAAAACTTTTAACAGAAAGATCACGGATTAAGAGAGACACCCTTTTAATTTTATTCCATCGCTAATGGTAAATTTTTCCAATGGACTTTTACTCGAATTGCCTATTTGTAATTCCATCCTTACATTCAATAGTTCAGTATGTAGAAATGCAAAGTTTCGTATCGAATGAAAATAGATGAGTGAGTGATTCAAAGGAGTCTAAGTAGCGAAAGCCCGTGAGGTCGTTGCGTATAGTTAGGGCAAAGAACGACGGATGGAATTAGCGTTGTATAGTGTATGGGGGTGCAAGAGAAAGGGATGATTTTGCGGTACAATGCACAACGACTTGCGAGAGCAAGCGCACAATGCCGAGTGCAAGGGAGCCACGTCTCGAGAGCACGACCATAGAAAGAGAAAGAGAGAGAGAGAGAGAGAGAGAGAGAGAGTGAGAAGGGGGAGGGAAAGAGGAGGCACTTTGTAGCCCCGAATGAATTAATCCCTCAAGCATTCCAGGCTAAGTCTCGTGGGAGACGAACGAGCGTTCAACGCCTACTTCTCTCTCTTTCCCTCTCGCTCTGCGCGTTACCGCGTTGCTACTGCTGCTGCTGCTGCTGCATCTGCAACGCCGCCGCCGCGTCAGACTCGACATTTTCACTTGTTCGCTTGAATCAATTTACCCAGACGTTCCCCCATGATTTGCATCATTTCGACGCTTTTATTCCCTTTTTTTTTGTTCTGTTCCTCGACTCGACTAGTCGCTCGCAATTATATTCTCTGTGGCGCTTAGCTTTTGATTCAATATTTGAAATTCATACTTGAAAATCGGGTAATCCGCTCGTGATTAATGCATATTTCATTTGACAGATTCCAGCTAAGTCGAGCTTCAATATTCACGCGGCAATTTTTCCAGCGAATAGGTCGATTTAATGAAGCGTACGTACGTGTGTGTGTCAGTATTATTGTAAGCAAGCTCGCGCTGACCTACATTATCCTCACCGCGACCCAAGCTTTCATATTATTGACATTGCTCCGTGTATTTGCCGCTCTATAGCTCTAAATATGCAACAGAACTTGCTATAATATTCCCCGCGTTTCTACAAAGTCTACGCGGCGGTAGTAGAATGCAAATCAATGACACGGATTCGCAGTCGAGGCTGGCGCACGCGCTCTCAACGTTCGGCCCGAAAGCTTGACCAATTTTATAAGCTGGCGGAGTCGTCGACGCGATAGACTTGCGTGCAAGACATTTAGGTACGTGTCCGAATAACCAGTCATTGGTCCGCGTAATTGAGCTTTAACATGCCAAGGCTACTCTGACGTACGTATCTCCAAGCCGAAACGTGGAGAGCTTTGCACATGGCTTCCAAATGCTTAAGCCCGAGAAGCGCATTGTTTGCATGTGTGCATATGCGAATGGCCGCGAGTTTGCCCGCGCACACAGCCACGCACATACGCATAAGCGCGGCTAAACAGCCCAAGTAATCTGGCTGGTTTGCGCGGCGCCTCCCCCTCCAAATCAAGGAATGCCGGCCGCGCCAGTTGCGCTAATATCCTTGTAGCTTCGCCGGGATTATTAATGTCGAAATGGGGCATCGATGCTCAAGCTGGATTTACGCTAGGCGGATCGCGTCCAAGAGAGATCGAGTGAACGAGCTGCACTTGCGATTTATGAACACTGACCGCATGCACTCTGCAGGCCTCTCTTACCTTGAGCTCTCTATCCGTGCGGGCTTGCGCGGTTACGCGCAGCCTCATGTCAAAGCCGCACGTTGCATTCAGCGTCTCGACGGTGCATTCCATATTTTGAGAAAGCCAGCGAGTCCGTGGTCCGAGATATTTCATTGCGCGTAGAGCCCCGCTCGCAGCTCGAAGCTTGCGCTTAATAAACGGCCCGTAGAGATTTCAGATTTTTAACGACGGGCGCAAGCGTCGAGTTTGCATGTAAATTTAAGGTGAGAAAGTTAGAGCCCGAAGGGCATGCGAGCTTGCATTTTGTTGTTGTCTATTGAGCGACGTAAATCGCAAGCATACTCGATCGGCAGCCATAACGGATATCCTTTTATGTTGGGGAAGGCCGAGGTCCGCGCTCGCCTCGTAAAAGGGGCGCGGGCGCGCGGAGAAAAGGCTTTTACGAGGCCAAGGCAAGTGCAGTACGATATTGGCACGCGCGATTATCTTTACTGGATGTTATCGGTGGACGGTCTTCCAGGAGCAATTCTGCAAATGATTATGTCCTTCCTCGCTAGCGCGCGCGCCAAGTGAAATCAGCCGTGGTTGACGTACATCGCTTCGCTCTCGTTACATCGCCATCTTATTCTCGCCTTTCCGTTACTATAGCTTCCTTCGGCTTCGGCTCGAGCTCCACTGGCTTACGCCGTCTCCGCTCTACTGGCTTAATGCACGCGTCACTTTATTTTCACTCCATCCCGTTTTTCGAGTTTCACATACTCGATGCTATGCGAAAGGAAGCAGTTTGTTTTGAAAAGGATGATGGCAAGAAGTTGGATGATCGGTGCCCTCGAGCGCTGTCCTTCTCTTGGAGTAGGGACAGTAAAAAATCGAGAAGCATTTTTCAGGAGCAGTCGACTTGTCCGTTGTACTGGTCTATCTGGTACTTCGCTTCGCCATCGCGGCGTTTTCCGCTTGCAGTCGTACGCGGCCACACTGGCATCGTCATCCTTTGCCCTCGCGGCTACAAGCAGCTCCGGAATCCTGCCAAAGTAAAGTGCACTGTCTCGTCGTATCTGCCTCTTTTTCCCGCTGTTTTCGTCGATCGTAAATACATCGGGGAGCTTAAGCTCGCCCACTCTCTCACTCCACTCGCTACCGTGATTTACTTATTACGAAAGTTAAGCTTACAAGGAAACGGCCAAATCGCATTTCTCTCTCCCACTTGATCGTCGCCACATGTAGGCTTCCGCGCTTCAACGACGCACGGCTGCACGTCTGATCGAACTCGAACTTGTTCTACTGTGGCTCGCTCGGACCTACGCGGCGATTTTATTCGACTAAAAGCCACGAGCCTGCTCGCACAATAACCTCGGGATTTGGAAAAGGCAAGCACGAAGCTAATGCTGAACGTTGCAATGCGCGCGAGGTATTAGCGAGAGCGGCGGCTGCAGGTGCCGCCGGAAATGGGTTTGCCTTGGGTCCTCGATTAATTATTTGAAAATGGCAGCAGCAGACGATTTGAGAAATGAGCAAGAGTGGCGCGATTTATGGATTGGCATGAATAGTACTTGGCGAGCGAGAGCCCAGGGGCCAGAAAAAAAGTGCCGGAGCAAAGCTCGCGAGCCACGTCGGACTAATTATTCAAATGGCGGCCCACATTCGAGGCGGGAGGGCGCACTTTTGGCCTGGAAAAGCTCGAGAGCGCTCCGTATGAGAATGGAAGCTGGAGAGGCAAAGCGGAGCCCTGATTGCCGATTGTTGCTGTTGCAGGCTTGTGCAATCACCAGGACGCGGTGCACATAACGGCGATCCTGGGCGAGAGCGTGGTGTTCAACTGCCACGTAGAGTTTCCGGATCAGCACGCGGTGCCGTACGTGCTGCAGTGGGAGAAGAAGGTAGGCGACACGGTACGATATCGGGCTGCGACCGAGCAAGTTGTTGCCCCCACCTCTCTGCTCTCTATTCGTGAGTTGAAAGCGAGGGCCAAACCTCAGGCCAAGGGCGCGCTCCTGGTGCCGGCCGACTCGCCACTCGCACGACTTCTGCCGGCCTCTGTTCAAGCTGCCAGCCAGCCCAGTCGACTCAAGCCCATTAACACACTGCAGCAACACGAACACGACCGAGGATTCTTGGTAAGGTCGCCTCGTTTCAGCAGTTGCCATCTACTCTCCAAACTGTTTATTTTTTTTCTTCGCTCTCTCCGGAAACCTCTCACCAACGATGCGGAAACGAGGCAATTTTATTGTGCACCACTATTGCGGTCCTGGGGTCTTTTATCAAAATTTTACCTTCCAACCATGCGCACTCAACGGTTTCCAATTTCTTTTTGGGGCTTCATCGGACTCGCGAAGATCTATCACGACCAGCGTATTCCTTAGCCGCACAATCAAAACTTCCACTCCAACGCTAACGAATCGCTGGCGTTATAGATTTTCGCTATAGTTTATTAGTATATTGGTATATTTAGTGGTGGCTTTATAGATCAAGTAATTATTAGTTTCCAAACTGTAATTATAGTAACAAGCAAATTTATTCAAGTAGACCATTATTTAGCTCTATTATATTATAATTACTAATTATTAATTTTATCGACAGTCCTATACAAAATTTTCTTGTCCACATATTATCCAACCAAATCAGGCTGAACATTTTCAATACTCATATTCTGAGTAAGTATGACGTACATCAGATATGCATTTACATATAGTTAATTTTGTGGGGGTTTCCGGAGGTTTCGTAATATCGACGCAGAGTTAACTTAAAAATCTGGATCATTGTAGAGTAATTAGTATTTCATAAGAATTGTACGTTTAAAAACGATACAATTAATTTTCAAAATGCAATGTCAATAACTCATTACGTAATGGCAAATGCAAAATACCAGAATCCTCGGTTACACCTGCTTGTTCTGTAAGTTGACAGCTAAGCAAAATAAAAAGTTAATCAAAGTTTATAGTGAAATGGCGATGTCGGTCGGTCACCAGTCAGCTGTAATGTGGGTAAGCCCTCGCATACGTAACGTAAACGTTGTACCGAACGAATTTTTGTCATTGTACACGTCTTTTTGTCGAGATAATTGTCATTTTTTAATTTTCACTCTTAATTTTTTTATTATGATATGGCTGCTTTTGAGACATATACATTAAACTTATGATGCATATACGAATACACAATACAGTGTCGCACTCCGCGATGTTGACGATTCTGACAATACTGCTGTTACAATTTACAGAGAACGTCAATCACACATAGCGTTTTTCGATTTTATATTCGGAACGTTGGAATACAAATATGTCTTATGTAATGTCCGTTTATTTTTTAAATTGTAATTGAGAGGGCAGAGCACGTATGATGGAAAATAGTATATTTCGGAAAATATGTAGTTAATTAGTGACTCATCATTGACCATGTCATGAACTATTGAACGCAATCCACATCATTAGCATTCCCGTGTTTTTCGATAACATGTAAGATTAACGTCAACTAGATCTAGAGTTGATTGCTAAATTCATCATGTACCAGTCCCCCGCTCATTTTCAAAGTCTCCAAATAATACATTAAATGTCATTGTCTGCAAATCAAATTATCATATACCGGCTATTGCTGTGTGAACTTTGATAGCAATCATCCTGCAACTGGACATTTTAAGCCTAATAATATCACGTCTCTGTCTCTCTTTAAACTTCGTTGTGCATGTTAGTCCTTTTATAGCCTTGTTTTGATTGTAATGAGCATAATGTGTATCTCTTTCAATATTACATTTCATATTACTTGGTATTTTGATGTTCGCGTTAGTTATGTGCCTTGGATAAGCCAAGCGCCAGTTTGTTATGAACAGGATGTTAGTAGCGCGACTTTATATCCCGAACTACAAGCATCTTTCTCATGACGTATTGACGCTTCACTCAGCCATGGCGCTTACAAGATTTCACAATCTTGGCGAAGACGTATTCCAATTACGTGCAGGTGGCACTCAATTGGTAAATAGATGGTGTTCACTAGTTTTTTTAAAATTACTTTTACAGTACATCGTAATATGCGACTTACACTGCTGATAATTCGAGCCGTTGTTTACTGTCTTTTTTGCTAAGGCGTGATCCTCGTAGTAGACCGATCCAACAGACAGAGCGGTTGTCACACCGCTTCGTGCAACTGCACGTAGCTCAGCAGCCGTCTCCTTCACTGCCACCTCTGTATAGATAGATTTCTATACAGTCGAGGAGCTCCTCTCGCGTATACCAACTATTTGCCAATTGAATAGTCTCTGCACGTATTAATTTGAACACGTCCTCCTAGGCTATAAATCTATTTAAGTACGTTTTTATCATTCAATCATTGATGTATACTTGTATATTATTAGTAATTATTTGGTTTGCACTGTAGATCCGACTGGTTGCACTTTGGCACTGATGGTTCATTCACAGTAACGCGTGCGCGAATTATTGATTTAAACGTAACGTGATGTATTCTAAGATGTGTCGTCACGATAATCGGAATAAGCAACAACAGCTGGCAAAGTTTGCAACCCATTCTTTAATTTCCGGTCTGTGACAACTAATGGTCGCTGAACTGTTTCAGATTTCCTGTGTTTTTGGCGCTAGATTTCATGTTATTCACTCATATTCAACTATAACCGTATTTAGGTGTGCATAGATATCGATATCTTAGACAGCCGTACTCGAGTTTATCCGTATGCAGAGGACACTCAATCGGTAAATAGGTGGTGTACGCGCGTAGAGCCGCCCCGGCTGTACAGAATCCAATTCATCCCAGCATGTAGTGGAATGGATGGCTACATAATAGGCTGTATCGGCTGCTCATCCAGCCAAAAATCATCCTCATTCGTATTGGTGGCTTACCACGCCAGGCCTTACTTCGCAATTACGGTAGTACAGGAGCGAGGTAATACAATGGCACAACTGTCTGCCAGCAGTGTAAATTTTTGCAGTCGGTTGTCACCTATTTATCGACTATACGAGTTTTCCAGTGAGCGTAAGTACACGAATGGATAATCGCGCTCTCATAATTTATCGTTTAAGACAGGCAGCAAGTTTGGCTTGCAACGTACTCGCGTGCACCGGGCTCACGATGATGGGTTATAGATTTCAACGTTTCGAGGATCAGTGGAAAATAACACCACGACATAGCTTGTCTACGGGGAATATAAAGCTCGCACACAATTAATTATTTGAAGGATAGTCGTCATGGAAAGAGTCCAGCTTGAATGGACTCGGTGGTTGTTGCAGTTTGTCTTGACAAGCCTAGTCTAATACCACGTCCCCGCTGCAAGCCAAACAGCCAAACTAAGCTACGAGAGCCCGATCATCTGTTACTCAACGCAAAACTAGTCGTTAACGATCGTACATTAACGCGATGTAAAATTAGTTATTTATGTGCCTTGGGCGAGCCAAGCGGGAGTACGATGACTTGCTTCGGGTGTCTTTATGCTCTACCGCGCTACAAAGACACTCCCGATACCATATTGGCGCGCTTGGCGCTTAAAAGCTTTTATATTCTTGGACAAGGCGTTTTCGTGTTAGCTACAGCTGGCACTCGGTCAGTAAATAGGTGTCGACCAACTGCACATGTTACACTGTTGACAATTGTACCTTCGTGTTGCCTCGATGTTGTACTATTCTAATTGCCAACTTAAGCCGCCTGGCGCGGTGGTCACCAATACGAATGAGGGTGATTTTTGTCTGGATGAGAGGCCAATGCAGCCTATTACACAGCCGTCTATTCCGCTACGCTTTGGGCTTTATTGGATTCTGTACAGCGGAGGCGACTCTCCGTGCGTACACCACCTATTTACCGATTGAGTACCCTCTACATACGTATAAATTCGAATAAGGCCGCCTAAGATATCGATATCTATGCACACCTAAATACAGTTACATTTTGATTTGAACCAAAAAGTCGCATTGGTCATTTTCGCTACGTACACGAGCCGCTTCTGCGCAGTGCAAATCTTTATAACTGTCAAATGAGCGTTGAGATCGAGGCACGACGCTAAACGTATCGAGTACCAAAAATACAAGAAATCTACGTAGCCCAGCGACCTGTAGTTGTCACAGACATAAAAGTAAAAAATCACATCAGGCTCACAAACTTTCCAAGCAGTTATTGCTTACTCCGTTTATCGTAATAACGCATCTTAGAATATGTCACGTTACTTTTGAAAATAACTTGCGTATATGTTACTATGAATGAATCGTGACACCTTCCAATATAACATCTATTGTACGTTTGAATTTTTCATCGGTATGGATATCAATAGATGATTGTTGTTTTTCAAACTGCCACCGCATCGTTCGATATTCAGTTACAGGATGGTTTACATGAACTTGGAGTAGCATATATCAATTTTTCTTCGAGAAGCAGAATTTATGGCTAAAATAAATATCGTTATTCGAAGTGAAAGCCAATACTTCATCGATGGCAGCGGCGCGGATGATACGCGAGTAGAGAGAGCTCGCTGTGAAAGTAGATAACCGCGCGTACTTTCGAGGCTTGCAAGCGATAAATCTAGTAGGTTCATGGCAAAATGATTGTCTATGGATTCGATCAATTATCGAGTATTGCGTGTGCGATCGAGGGATGCATTAAGCATGAATTCAATATCGACAGCAACGTAGAGAGTGAGAGAGAGAGTGAAAGTACAGCTCCTAGATTTTGCCTCCAATTGATCTATTCGAGATTATCTTATTTTATCGACTTAGTTGCGAATATTACCGGAACGCGATGATTTCTATAGAATTCTGACGAGCCCCATTGAAATTCAACGAAATACATGAGGCATTTAATTCCGAATCAAAGTACAACAGCATCGATCTGCGAATACCATGAGCTTGGATTTCTCGCGTGCAAGGTTGATATATTTGATTGCTCTTGACGAGAAGTGCAGTTAGCCCATTGAATCATATCAATGTCGAGTTCGCTAACGGTAATTATTCCCTGCAAGTGTTTATCATGAAAATGGAAGCTACTGATGCAAAACACGCGCATATATTAGTCGCACGGTACAATTCGACAAGCAAGAGTAAAGAAAAGCTGCGAGCTTTTATTTTGAAATGACGACAATGAAGCTTGGACGTTTTTTCCTCTCTTCTTCGCGCATACATCACATCAGTCGGGGTGTGCGGACTTTTGTATTACTTTTGTAGGTTACGACCTCTGAAAATGGAGGCTACAACTGGGTGCACGCGATTGGCCTCCTTTCTGGACGACTCGCCTCTTCTCTGTCCCTTTCTCTCTCTCTCTCTCTCTCTCTCTCTCTCTCTCTCTCTCGCTCTCGTTGACGTGAAAATACTTGTTCTCGAGCAATCTCCATTACGCAGGCAACAGCGTGTCCGACAGCTTTTTCGCTACGGGCTTTCACGCCTCAGCTTGATGACTTTTGCGCTACGCTTAACTTGCCTTATAGTTCTACTTTGTCGCGCAGTTCACTTCTCCAGGATGCTGGACTCGACTGATTTTGGCCAATTTTCCTGAAAATTTATCAATGAGACTGTCAAAGTGCAGCTGGTAATTAAGAAAGAAATGTTGCAAGTGTTGTCAAGTTGCCGAAATGAGAATTAAAGAGCAGATAGCGTTGCGAGCTATACATTGTTCACAGCTCGGGTATGTGTTAAATACACGATCCGCGGCAGTGAGGCATCACCGTTACAAGCGTCGCTTCAGACTCTAATTAAGATGAATATTTCGCAGGTGCGGAGACTGTATCGCATTATATCGCGGCAGGCAAGCGTGGAGACACAAAGCTCGCGCTCACACTTGCTGCGAAAGTCAGCCGAGTGAGATACTCAAAGACTGCTGCTGCCACCGCTGTTGCTCTGTGAAAGAGCATCGCTCGAGAGCGTGTTTACCGCACTGATTACATAGGGGACGTGTATCGCATTAGGCTTTGGCCCTTTCCCCTCCATCCCCTTCTCCGTGTACTAGGCAACCTACATGAATTAATGCGAAACAGCTAGTCGAAGCATGTGCCCCCGACGACGTT